AGGGAGGGGAGGGATTTTAATGGAAGGGAGGTGAGGGGAGGGGAGGTGATGTAAAATAACTTTACCTTGTTTGGAGAGATTTTGTAGGAGGTGAGGTGAGGGGAGGGAAAATAGTAAACCTTGTTTGGTTATAAAAATAGAAGGGAAGGAAAATATTGTAAAAATGACAGTTATACCTTTAATGATGTAAGAAACAAAAAATTAAATAATTCACATTAAGGTCAAAAGAGTAATTTATTGTTAAAATTTTTCCCTCCCCTCCAAATTCTTCCACTTTTAGAGGGGAGGATATTTTCCCTTGGAGGAGAGATTTGAAGGGAAAATCCAAACCACTCCCCCTACAAAAATTGAACCAAACAAGGGAAAAATAAAAAATTCCCTCCACTCCACTCCCTTCCCCTCCCCTCCGTTTCCCCCGAACCAAACATAGGCTTAAAGTATACCTATGGTTGGCACTAATAAATATGCATATTCATTCTTTAGCATCACTCAATTTTTTATATTTTCAATATGATATCTTATATAAATATATAATATTTTTTTGTTAGTAGTCCGATAATACCATAATACCGCATATCAGTGGCTAGATCGGTATGCCCACCAATACGGTATTTAAAACATTGTAGCAAAAGCATTGCCCCCTTTCTCCTTCCGGCGGCCGCGACTGCCCGGCTAGGCCCAATTATTCATCAACGTCGGCCCTCGAGAGTGTTGATGGTGGACGAACCCTCGTCGTTTTCTACCTTCTCCCCGTCGCCGTCAAACAATTCTCCATCACATAAGTTGGTGTTAGATCCGCATTTCATGCATTGCTGATGTAATCTCTGAGACCGTACGATGACTTCCGGCGGTTGATAGTGGAGACGACCGGCGCACAGATGGGGGACAGGGCGCGTGGATTGGTAGTTTTTGGAGTTTTCTGCTTTTATAAACAACCTGACGCCTAGATCTAGAGTTGTGGCCAAACTCGACAACTATTTGATGTATATCTTTTGTATATATATGCTTTATATGTGTGGTATATTTATATTTTTTTTTCTTTGTTTACGTAGTTGCATGTATATATATTGTATATTTTTCATATATATACTGTTTATATTTTTTATATGTATATAAAATGTATACGTCAAGTATATATCTGACATAAACGAAGATTGTGATAAAAAATACCGACATAAAAATGTTTCTCTCTCCATGCATGCATCCCATCAGTTACGGGGATCTGTTATGGTAAGTCATTATGACTTGATCTGTTGCTAATTATATTGTGCGTATATAAATAATTTGATTAAGTTAGGTATAAGTGTAATTTTAAGTTTTATATTTGGTATATATGCAAATAAAAGCAATTAATTAAAGCAGAAGTGTAAATTTCCCTATATTTTGAGAAATTTACTCCCTACTGTTACTTTGTTAAATAATATTAATAACACGAATTCATTAACTTTAATCATAAATACGAATTTTTTATTTAATTAAGGGAAGTTTTAGGTTTTATAATGTTACAACTACCCACTACTTAATTATTGTCCATGTATTCGGCTCCCGCGTATCTTCTTCACATGAAAAAAAAAAAATTATCTTCCCTAAACACACAAAAGAAGAAACCTCTTCCTGTTCTAAAATTTTCAATGGCCAATCGAAGAAAAAATGTGGCCAATCCATCAACAGTGAAGACGAAGCAAGATTAACTCGCTCCCGATCTCGACGAACAACTCAATTTCAAGCACCCGAATTTAAGATCGTCCAAAATAAACTTCGAATTTCAGAAAATTGAAGCTCCAAGAAATTTCAAAATCCCGGCTCCTAAGAAGGCCTTAGTTGATTCCAACGGATACGATGATTTTGTGTCTGAACCCAAAATAAAAAAAGAAAATTAAATAAATGCCCGATGACAAGAAGAAGACGAGGGTCAGAGACAACAAAGGTAAAACTAATATTATCGATTCTCCAAAGAATCAACAAGAGTCCGATTAGGATTTCATACTTGATGAAGAGGAAGAAGAGCATTCAAGTGAAGTGGGTGCGAACATCTCAAATGACGACAGTGAGATGAGCTCGGACACATGTATGTCACTTGGTTGTTTATATATTTCGTTTATGTAAATTTAAGTTAATGTTATTTCAATATGTCCTATTTTTTTTGGAATCTCTATTTTGAATGTCAAAGTGTTATGTTTATCTTGTTTCAGAATTGTTTATATGTTGATAATCTTATGTATAACTACATGTACTTTTTTGGATTTTGCAGTTATATTTGTTTACCTAATGCATATATTTACCATAACTATGCTCTAAGTAACAATTATTCAATCATATTTGTGTGTCTAATGTATATGTTATGTGTATCTATATACAAGAGTCAATTGTCTCAGTGTTTTGAATTTGCGAGAACATGTTTTAGTGGAGATTTCACGAACAATAGTTCTTTTCTTTTCCCATCCAGATCAGTGCTTCTTTTTTTTCCAGCAAGATGGATGATTTTTTTTTTAGTTGAACGAGGTCGATGAACAAAAAATCCCGTTTGAAATTTTAATTCATGAAACCATGAATTCTAGGTACCATATTTGGTATTTTTTTTCAAATACCCGTTTTATTTGCGTAGGTTTCGCCGAAATTGATAGCAGGTTCCGCTGAATTGTAGGTATCAATTGATTGCGTAGGTTTCACGAAGTTGATTGCATGAAAAAAAAAATCACATCCAAATTTCCTTTGAATAAAATTTTTACTGTATATATATATGTAAATATCTCTTACGTAGAGTCTATATATGTAAATTTTCCATATATTTTCTATCTACCAATTATGGTAGGTAATTTATTTCATTCCAACTCTATTGTAAGTAAAAGTTTTTATTTCCAAACATGTCACATCATTATCTCTAATGTCCGTTTCTCCAATCAAAACATAAAAATTGGTAACTCTTACATTCCTATTTAAAAAATAATAATAATAATAAAAGATATGACATATCTCTAAAAAACTCAGAGATCCAATCGCCGCCACCAGCTTCTAGCCACCAACCTATTTTCTCTCTTGACCAAATGGCATCAGTTTCCGGCGACAATGGCTGACCATTCACGGCGAGGCGGGCCACCAGACGCAGTTAATGAGAGCAGGCCCTTCACGGCGAGACGAGCACCACATGACCAAGCAACAAACGACAACGAGACTTGCATTTCCGGTGACCCAAGGAAACGACGATCTGCGGCTGAGGCCATACTTCTGACAACGAGGACAAAAGGCATAGTTTCGAATAAATATACTACATATATACAAAATATATACCACAAACATACTCTATAAAGTTATTAAAAACCAACACAATCAATAAACAATATATATATATACACACACGAAAAATATACAGTATGATGTGGCATGTGATGTGGCTTTATTAATTAGATTCATCACTTCCACATCACATAATTAGGTGGATTTTTTTTTTAAAAAAAAAAATCATACCAATCTCTGTAACATCCAAAAGAACAAACTCATCTCTTGTTACCCATCTCTATAAACACTTCCGATATCAAACTCTGCAGCCATGGAAATCACATCAGCAGCCAATGTAATCACTATATTGCCCCAAATTGAATACCAATTTTTGAAATTCACTCCCTCTTCAACCCCTGTCAAGCCCAGAAACATTGAGATGACAAATTCTGTAGATGGGATTGGGGGTTGGAGGAGGTGGGGAGGTGGGCCCGTGCTCAGGTGGTCGGAGGGCGGCGGAAAAGCACCGCAAAAAAGCTTGCGAGTGTGGCTATAGCGGTGGCATCAGTGAATGAGGTCGTGAGTGGATTTGGGGAACGACAACTGGCGGGAACTAATTGATTTTGGTATGATTTTTTTTTTCAAAAAAGCCACCTAATATCTATGATGAAGTGATAAATCTAATTAATAAAGCCACGTCATATGCCACATCATATTGTGGCATGGCTTATGGTGTCCATATGGGCACCATAGAATTTCTGATATATATACAAAAAACCAACAAATACTCTATAAACATTATATATACGAAAAATATACAGTATATATACCTGCTTTTGGTATGTATGTCCTTTTCTCATTTTTTTTTAAAGAATGACCATATACCCGTGACAAAATTAATGTATTTAGTTCGCAACCTGTAAAATGACAACCATCATTTTCCTCTTCCTCTGCAGACATCCGTCTCTTCCTCTACATACATTCGCCGCCTTCATCCATCAGCCAACGAGCCAGACGTTCCGATGCCGCTAACGACGGGCTCGACTCTTGAGCGACGGGCGACGAAGGACGAACAGGTTTTGGGGACGGCGCGGCGACGCTTGAGGCTCAACGACTAAGGCGAGCGGTGGCTAGATCGATGCGGCGTTGTTGTGGCGAGCGGTAGCGGCTGACCATATTCAAGCCCAAAAACAAACGATCGAGTCCCAACGCTAGAGGACAAGAGCCCCACAACAGTTTTGTTTTTGCCTCTATTGTTGTGGCTGGAAACACGAGCAGGACGGCAGGCGATGCGGCGGTGGAGATGTCGGCACCGACGGTGGGCTATGAAATGGTGATGACGATCGGAATTGAAGGATAAGGTGGCTGAATGAAGGAGAATGACCTATCACACACACACACACAGTTGTCCAAATATGATGGAAATACCATCCATGATCCCTCATTATATCGCACCATTTTTGGTCGATGAATGTAAAAAACATTAAAATAATCATTTTGATGCGCATTGAATATTAACTGTGAAATGTTGGGCTTAGATATCTCAACTACAACTTGTTAAGAGAGTAGTACAATGAGTAGCAGGAACAACACACAACAATTGAAATCATACACTATTAGTAAAATTTATTCATACCAGCTGAAAACAAATGAAAAATGAAATAGTGGAATTCTCAAGCTCATGGACTTGTGGCTGAGCACATAATCTCGAAGATCACAATTCAAAGCTCATCCATGTCCCTGAATGATATGAGCTTTTCAAGTGAAGCAGATCAAATTCTATATTAGCCCCGAAAATGAGTGAGATAAGCGTCCGCCAGCTTACGGCCCAACTCGACCTGAGCCTCGGTTGTGAGATGAAGATTATCTTCTTTCAGCGCCAGCCCCTTTGCGTCCACGCACACAACATCTGGCAGATCAATTCCCTTTTGTATTTCCCTTATCTTCTCAAGAAACTTTTCGTCTCCAGACGCAATTGCAACCTAATTATTCAAAATTTATGGTCGAAATCCAAATTAATGGTGAAAATCAGCAGCAGTAATACTAAATTTGAAAGATGAAAATGATAATTTTCAGCTCGATTGATTGTTCTTTTACCACCTGAATGAAGGGTAGCGATGGCAAATCCAGATCCGCGCGCACATTGTGAATTAGGGCTTCGAGATTGTCCTTGTACGAATCCACATCCTGCTGCGACGCCGTGTCGCTCTCCCCCTGGTACCACAGCAGCCCCTTGATTTCTCCGCCGGCGGCCGCCGCCTTGGCGCGCTTCACCATGTTCTCGTACAGGTGGGCGCCGCGCGCCCACTCCCGGATCGCGGTCCCGCCAACGGCGCACGGCACGAGGCCGACCGCCCCCACGCGCTCCTTCACCGCGTTGGCGAACGACATCCCCGGCCCCACGCCGCACGTCTTCTTGGAGTCGATGTCGCGGTGGAGAGGCTCGTGCGCCGCCTCCCACTGGAGGTGCGCGTTGAGCCGGGAGATTTTGTGGGCGTCGGCGGAGCATTCTGGTGGAACGACGCCGTCCCAGTGCTTGTGCTTGTCGACGCCGCCGCGGCCCGCCATGTTGCTCTGGCCCGATAAGATAAAAATCTGTTTGGCGGGCTGGGCTTCGTGGTCCTGGGCCGACTTCTTAGGTAGCTCCATTGATCAGCTTTGTCTTCTTCACCGTCTGGGGTTTGAGGATGAGACAAGAGAACCTTCAAATGTGTGTATGTATGCAAGTGATGGAGATTTGTGGGGAATGTAGTAGATACACAAGTACGTCAATACTTAATTGCGTCTCGGGCCTAACTCCTAGCCTCTCCAATGGTAGCTTGTCAAATTTTAAATCAAAATATTATAAATAGACCTCGTGTTTGAGTTACTCAATGACAGAAGTTGAAACTACAATTGATCCTATTTAAAAAGATGAAGAAAAAAAATAAATATAAATTAAAGAGGAGGATAAACAGTACTTAATAATTATAAATTAAAGATTCGGGGTCAAACAATGTAAAATTATTTTGTTTAAGAGAATATAAAATTTGCATTATTTTGTATAAGAGAATATAAATTTTGGATGTTTAATATTAAAACACCTAAAATATTATATTAGTATATGTAAAAGTATTCAAAATTTTCAGTATTATTTTTGAAAGATGTGAAGTCACCTATAACTTTTCTAAGTAATTTTAGAAGGAAAACATATCTAAAAACATTTAAATATAACATTGTGTAAAAAAGATTTTTCTAGACTATTTCGTAAAGAAAACATGTCTACAACAAATATTTAAATTTAAAATCAATTATGTATATGTGTGTATATATATATGTATATATAGACTAATAGGTAAAAAAAAATGTCTAAACAATTTGTTTAAAGTATCTAAAATATTAGAAGCCTAATTTAACAAAGACATTCAAATGATACCGAATTTATGGCGTTACTTTCATCTAACAAAATTTGATTACACACAATTTCAAAATTATTATTATAAATGTTGTCGAGGATGTATTGTTAGTTTATAATATTTGTAAAAATATTAGTAATTAGACCGGTGAAAATTAGCCCGAAATAGGTTGTATTTTATTTTTTAAATCTGTTATAGCTAAGGGATGAAATTTTTTAAACTGTGAGACGTATGTAATGAGATTTTGTAACAGATGAGAGATAAACTCTTCTAGATTTATGTTATGGATAAACTTTGTATAGATTGGAATTGAAAATGATTTTAAAGCCAAAAAATTAGCAGATTTTGTGTTGAAAAACAAAATAGATATAAGTGTAACAATTACTACTGGCGGTTTTGAGTACCAAAAAAACAGGTAAAAGAAATGCAAATATTTATAGTCATCGACGGTTTTGAGTACCAAAAAAGGGAAAAAGACAGATATATACACAATTAAGCTGCCGATTTTTTTGCCTAATAAAAATTGTCCAACAACTACTATATATAGGATACATTTAATGATTTTGGCGGGTAAAGCTTTCTAAATTTATAAAAATGTTATTCTTTTTATATAATGATAAAAAATATTTAAAATTTTATAGGCCACATAGGATTTTTTGTGCCATGTGCCAACAAAATCGGACCAGCAGGACCGATCGAATAAAGTACACATCGATCAATAGGGGCCAGAGATCAAAGCTACGCAAATTTAGGAGCACCCGACAAGTTCCCACTCTATAGCAAATATGGTCGAAGCATTGAGCGGTCGAATATAAATGGAGTGGTCGATTATAAATGGTCGTGGGATCGACCATCTTGTACTACGGGACAGCTCAATAGCCTGCCCATATATGGTCGAACCTAAGAGCCTCCAAGGGAATCTCTGACACGTGCGTGGGGGACACGCGACGCATGATGGTTGACCTACAGTAATAACGGTCTCTGACACATCCTGACACACTCTGACACATTTCTGACGCTGAGGTAGTGAAGCGTACGATCGAGCAGCTGGGGCAGCCAACTCAGCTTATCCGGGCAGCTCCTAGACAATCTCTCTTACTCTTTATACACTATCACATATATTTCATCTTCTCAAGACTGACTTGAGAGTTGGAGGCTCTTCACCGGAAAATCCCTCCGGTGTGAGAGTTTCGTGCATGTTAGGTGTTCTACCGGCGAGGAGAGCAAGCTCGAAGTGGTTCTCAGCCAGTCGGGGCGTTACACTTGTATTACATGATATATGATAAAATTAATTATATGGATCGTCATGCTTTTTTAAAATATATGTATATTTAGTAAATATAAAATATTTAAGATTCACATTGAAATTTGTAATTAGAATATGAGATGAAAAAGGAGTTTGTAAAAAAAAAAAAAAGCATCAAGAATACACATAATATGAGATTCGTTCTAAACTGTAAAAGATTTTGTAGTTAGATGAATATGGACCAAAAAATCATCAATTAAGTTGAAAAATCTGAAATATAAACATTAAATCGGATACGAACTTTTAGTTGTAACCATAAAATACGAGATTTGTAGATTGATAAATATGGACGATTAAGTTGGCATGACTTTTAATAAAGATTTAAAAAAAAAAAATAGTGCGAGTCTTGTTTGTGTGTGTGTTAGATTTGTGGGTGGTAATGCGTAATAGTAATGCTCAAATTATTTTTAATAAAGATATAATTTTTTTTTTAAGTTATTAGATCATTCGATCTAACTCTTACAATTTTTTTTTTTTTTTTTTACTGAACACTATTCTTGTTTGAATTCAATCCTAAATGTAAATATAGATTAATATTAATCTAAGACGCAATTTTTTTCTTTCCCTATTTTGCACATCTCACAATGGAGAACGACATGCTCGGAGCACCGCGGTCTGATTAATACTACAGAACCAAGCAACAAGTCCAACTCAAGATTGGGCCAAGTAATGTAGCTTTACACTGAATTAAAGCCCAATAAGGAAAAAGCCTACGCATTTACTGTGTACCAGAAGGCAGATACATTGAGTTGAGCAGAGGGAACAAACAAAATACTACTTGAAAATGAGAAAGAGATCTTCAAATCGCAACACCGTCTAACAAGATCAACAATTTGCATTACTAATCGATCGGGAACAGAAGGAATATTTGGTGTAGGACGAGGAGGAAGAACATGCTGCCCACATCTTCATCATTTAAGGCCCGTTCGGGCTCCCATGCCCGGCCCAATTCTTTCCTACCTCAT